AGGTGGGGGCAATTTATCTCTGATCAGTGAGTATTAGATATGATCCAGCTTGGCTAATCTCTTGAATTCTCCTGAACGCTACCAAACCACTTTATACTGCCCGCCCAGGAGGAATCCAAATTAGTAGCTAAAAATGCAAGTAACTAGGGAACATCACCGAACCATTTCTAAGCCACTTACATTGTCTTGAAAAAGTTCAGGATGCATCCCTTTCACAAAATGCAATGCAAACATTAGTTGATCGGCCTGCAATGACAGAAAGGCAAACAAATTAATAACGGCCCTGTTCATACGAGGTGTTTTGGGACAGGAGGGGGACGGAACGGGGGCGGAGCAAACGGGCGCGATCCCACGGCAACATCTGGGAATTGTTGCCTGCCCGTCCCTGTTCCGTCCCAAACGCCGATACCGCGCAGCAAAAAACCCCACCTACCTAGGTGGTTGTATCCCTTGAATGGAGCCCCCCAACGCGGGCGGTGGATTGGCCGGCCGCGTCCTTGTGCCGTCGCATCTCGGCCCCCAGCCGTACTGCGCATGCTTGAGCATGCGCAGTTCGGCAGCCTCCCCCTCCCATCGGACTCTTGCTCCCTGGCATCTGATCGTGCCGGGGAGTGATGCGCCGCGGCTGATGGGATCAGTGGGATCCCGCCGCGGCATCTCAAGTACGGTGCGGCTCTGATTAGCCGCGTTTCAGCCGTCCCGTGTGGCAGCGACCAACGTTATCCTATTCCACAACCTTCTTAGGAATTCACACTTAATTAAATAAGCTGATTACCAGATTGTACATAAGACTTTCAAGGAGCTCATCAAATACCCTCACAGGGCATTTATTCTATGGGATTTCCTAAAACAGAATTACTCACTTCCGTAAGACACGAGAAAGTTCCTCATTTCATGGCATTCTTGCTCCACTCCGCTACACCTCAGATGCATTTTTTATTTTCGGAATCTGACACACATTTAACCTTTCTCAGGGATTAGTCTCGAACACTACCATCCTAAGCAAAAGTCACACCTTCTATGCCCACCTTTTTCAGTGGACTCAGAAAGGTGTAACTCTGCTTGGGATGGCACTGCATATGTGCTTAGAAGGGAACCCGTTTCCGATAGTTGCATACCTAATATAGAACAAAGTCAAGGCAGCCCAAAAGTCACACAGCATATGGACCTCGCTGTTGGACTACAATACGAAAATGTATTACAAATTTCTCATATGGTGTGTGACTGCATATAGCCGGGGGCAAGGGAGAATGAGAATTTTTACTGATAGGCACAGTTTTATTCCATCACTATAAAATGCCAAATAGAATTGGAAATGCTAAAAAATACAAGGGGTTCTGCTCTACGTGCCAGGAATTAGATTGGGTGTTAGATGTAGTGGCACGGTTCATTTTTGTTTACCCTGCTGCAGCTAAAAAGCCAGTGTAAAGAAACACTACATAAAATGCAGCGGCCATGGAGCCAGGAAATCCCCACTTTAAATCCCATTTCATCCACAAATTCATTAGGTGCTAGTACAGCTTTAACAGTACTGACTCCCTAATCATAAATAAGAAAGTGGACTGGGGATCGTGAGCTCCTTTATCCTTTCCCATGCCCACCAGCCTTTATAATGATTAAACATTACACCAATGCCAACTTCAACCATGCTGCATGGTTACTGGGATTTGCACCTTATCGGGATTTGAAATCATTTCATTCCTTTCAACAAATGACTCCTGAAGACTGTACTTCTCTGTTCTGCCCTGCTTGTGGCTTGATGCTCTATAACAGCTGCTGTATTTTTTAGCGTGGCATGCCATGATTTTTTAAAATGAAATCTAAATAATGCAAAAGAGATCGGGCTAATTCAACTTTGTAATTCACAAAGGCTTAGACTTTAGTTTGGATTTTTTTTTAATACAGAATGGCTGAGGCATCTGAGCAGCAGGCAGGGTTGCATTTCAGTCATATATCAGTTGAAGTGAAAGGGTAATTGAACTAGCTCATTTCTGCACCAAGCAACTACATAAATCCCCCTTACTACTAATTTATAGTTTTTCAATGAATTCGCTTTCAGAGTTAACCAGCAGCATTTTAAAAGCACCCACAGAACCCAGCTGAAACAAAGGGTCAGATGCACCAGGGTTGGTGATGTAGAGCACCATCATAACAAAAGCAAATGGCAATAATTCATTTTGATATCTCAAAATTATATCTTTAACCTTCCATTTATCTTCAGTTCCTTGGGGGGAAACTGGAAAATGTGTGTGCGTGTGTGTAGATGAATCTGCTCAATTGTTAAAATCTTTGACAAAGTCCTTGCTCTCTGTGCCCTCCCCCACCCCCAAACTTCCGCAGTGAGAGAGGGGTTATCTTTTTCTGTCATGGTGCCTTGTCCATGTAACTCTCTCCCGACTTCTATTTGCCTGAGGCCAACTCTTTTGTATTTTATGAGAAGATGTTTTTGTTTTCACAATAAATGTCCCCCCTTCTTCTCCCTCATTTTTTTTTTTTTGGGGGGGGTACATTTCTAGCTAGTTAGAGAATGATTACAAAAATCAAGTTTTAATTGGTTTTCAAGTGCTCAGTTACTGAAATGCTCCTGACACAAATGCTGAGCATATAAAAAGGCTAGAATACAAATGAAAATACCTTGAAGTAAAAAATTGTAAGACTTAATTTATCTGTAACAAGAACGAGCTGTTACATAATTCTACACAATATATGTTTACACAGCACTTGAGAGTGCACTGCCCTTCACATACATTATCCTGTTGTAATCCCAGTAATGTGGTTTATTAATTCCAAGTGGCCACTAAGAAGGTCACACTAGAGATAAGATTTGAACTGGGGACCAAATGATTTGTAGCTTGGTCTCACTGCTAATATGGTATACCAATCTCCAATCATTCTATCCAGTTGAATACAGAAATGTAGGTATGGCTTTACAAATTTAGGCAATTTCAGTTGTTTTCTATATATGAAGCTCAGATTTCTGGTGGGAGAGAATATCTATTCACTGGATCTGGACACAGCTTTTGCATGTATTCTAGCTTCATTATATTTGAACACAAACTATCTAAATACTGTATCTGATTATTTTAATCCAAGTAGCGATAACCGCTTCCCTCTTCTTCAAATTGACTGATTGGCTAGTACACTTGAAAAATATTCAAGGAGCTCAATGGGCTGTTACAAAACAGGTCAATCATTTTTCAGTGCCAGCTCACTCCTTTTCAGGCTATTGTGTCTTGCATGCTAATATCACAATACCCTACTCTCCAAAAGCCTATGTTGCCTTGCAGCTGTGCAGAAGCAGAGCAGCAAAATATCAGTAGTCCAGCACCCCCCAGGTTCTGAGTGTCATGTTTACCAGTAAAGTGCTTTTATTTAAGCAAAGCCAAGATATTTCATACCAAGCAAGGCCAGGATTGAAATGTTCCCAATAGCTGCAGATTTATTTAAGAATTAATGGGCTCAACAGATATGCTACCAGAGGATGAAACATACAGGATGGGAGTCAGCATCATACAGTTTATTGTCCCTTAAACAGAGGTATTATTATTCTGTGCTTAATGGGACTGAAAAAAATGTTTTATAAGCCAAACTCTGGGTGGAAGGAAATATTTCTTCAGGTGGGGGGGTTTACACAAAGAGATAGCATCAGATTCCCAAGCATAACAAGCAGGCAAGGATGCTCAACTAGTTGTTCTTTTCTAATTCTCCTTGAACTACAGAATTGTAATGTAATGCTCAAAACTATTTCAGTGCATTAATTTATCTTACAATACTTAATATATGAGCATTGCTGTCTCTTACCAATATAACTCAAAATGTTCACAGCATGACACCTACAGTTGCTCTATTTGCCCTTAAGCTGGTACCTAAGGAAGCCACTTATGTTAAGACAGCTCCTGCGGGCTCAAGATTTCTTAGTAGCCACAGAAGAAAAGAATTACTTCTTGGCAGGAAGAGTGCAAGCTAAACCCCAGGTGAATATTCTACCTATATAGTTTCACTCCCACCAACTAGAAGCCGTTGGGTCCTTATAGGCAACAGCCTCTCTGGAAGCAGGCCTGTAGCCACAGGGGGGCATTTGGGGGTGACACTCCCCACAGATGATCCTTGCCCCACCCTGGGAGGATGCCTGCTCCCACCCCCAGTCCATCATGCTCCTTACCTCTGCACGCTGTGGCCTCGCCAGCTTTTCCTGCTGCAGCTGAGCAGAACGAGAGGAAGAGGGGTGGCCTAGCCGGGTCTACCTCCCCTCCTTGCTCAGCTACAGCTGGAAGCAGCTGGAAGACCCAGCGAGGCTGTGCAGTGACTGCCTGCCAGGGTAAGGAGTTGCTCCTCCTCTCCCTCCCCTCCTGCTCAGCCACAGGAAGAGGCAGGGCAGAATGATGTTCCACTGCACCTGCGCAAGGGCAGCAGGGGAGGAGTTTGCCACTGGCATCATGTGACCCTGGGGTGGCTGGGCTGGTGCAGGCACAGTGAGGTGCTGGGGCAGGCCATTCTGCCCTGCCTGCCTGCCTCCTCCGTGCCAAGCTACGCTGGGTCTTGCTGCTTCCTGCTGCAGCCAAGGGACGGCCTTGCCAGGTCTGAGAAGCCCACTGCAGATAGCACCTGCATAGGAGGGGGGGGGAGAGGGGAGCACCACACTTATTCACCTTGCCCTCACTTTGCCCGTGTTTGCTTCGCCCCACCTGCCGGGCTCTCTCGAGCTCAGGCATGGAGAAGGCAGGCATGCAGGGCAGCGGACTGTGCTGGTGAAGAGAATGGTGGAGGAAGCAGTCAGGAAGGGGAGAATGGCCTGCCCCGGTGCCAATCATCGAGTTACTTCCAAGTGACATCACAAGGGATGTCACCATGTTGGGGACAAGCACCCTCCACCCCAAATTTTCTGGCTATGGGGCTGCCTGGAAGTAAATTCTTGGGTTCATAGTAATGCAGAGATGAGAAATGGTAAACTGAGAAATAAAGTTTCTGAGATTAAGCCTACCTTCAATTTAAGAATGATAGCATCTTGCTCATTCACTGGGGTAATTTCTCTGTTAACGAGGCACCAGTTCTTTGTAGCACTGTACTTGTTTGAGCTGCTCATGCTTGAAATACAGGGCTCGTTCCACTGGAAGCAGGGGAACCATCATAACAAGTTTTTGTGAACCTAATGGAAGGTTTCCTTAAAGTCCAGAAATTCATGTACCTACAAATCTGTATGTCTTTTGGTGTTCTTCACTACAGAACCATGGGTGCAATATAGCACAGAGGTCACAGTGAATGAATTTATAGGGCACTGAAACATGTACATAACAAGTGACTAGGCATAGAGATGGAATCTACTCCTGCCTCAATCAGCCAAAAGGCAAACGACATCCAGCCTCCTTCCACCTAAAGTCCTTATGACCAAATTATATGTGATGGTTAGTCTATGAGTGGATCCTTCATATGGCTTCTGCATGCATCTCCCTCTCCCCCCTTGCGAAAGGGTCAAATAAAAGCCTGAAGAGGGGGAAATTCAAAATGTGAAAATCCTATGAGTTGTTGTTTTTTTTTAAAGCAAACCCTTCTCCCGGACCATGATCTTAATGTAAACCCTTTGCAGCTCCCATTAAAAGTTTTTTTAACCCATTTATGACAGTGAGAAATTTATGAATAGATCTCCCATTGTTTTAAAAATTGTGCCTACCCTATTCTCCAACTGTGGCAAGTCAGACCCATGCATTCCAATACTGATGGGGAAATGAGGAAGAAAAAATGGGTTACAACACTTCTGGGAAGCTGGTGGCGAGGGTCTGTTTGTCAGCACGAGAGCTGCTACGGACAATATTATCTCAGGATACCAGAACCCAATACAGTGCAGAGAATGATGGTTTTATGAGCTAACCGCTGTGTACTTAAGAAATATGTCTTGATCAGAATTCAACTGAGGAATCCTGAGAGTGCTATTTGTTTTGCACAACCTTCCTTTCCTTCTTATTCTAGTCACTGATGCTGCTGAAGCTAATGTTGCCTCAGTGCTGTAATAAGCCCATGATCCTGAGATGAGCAGAGAGACTGTTCACGGAACAGAAAACTCATTTGTTCTGCCAAACAAGACAAAAAGCTGCTGTGCAAAGCTCTCATGAGTAAAAGGCAAATACCTCTTACTAACAAATAAGCAAAATTTGCCATTATTGCCTTATCCAATGATCCATATATTTAAGTGTGCCCAACTACGACTGCTCTGGGAATATAATTTTGCACTCAATACTGTAAGTCAGAGAGAAGGAAAACAAAAAATTACCTTAAATAAGCAGCGACAGACATATTCGTACACCATGTGTTTTAATGAGCTGATAAGAGACTTGATTCTTTCTTCGGTATTTCCTAAATCCTGAAAATAATGGTTTGGATATAAACATGCATTTAAATATCTCTTTATAGATGAAAAAGATAAAGTGACACAAATGTAATTTCAGTGAAGTATAGAGAGATTCAAATCTGGCTTCATATCTCTATGTTCGACCCCAAAATAATAGATCTCTTGTACAATCAACAGAAGCCCGAATAGCCAAGCTTAACTAAAGCTCATCAGAACCTGGAAGCTAAGCAGGGTAGGCCGTGGTCAGTACTTGGACAGGAGACCTCAAAGGAAGGCTGGGGGTGGCTACCTGGAGGAAGCCAATGACAAACCACTTCTGAAGTCCCTCGCCTGTAATGACCCCATTGATGGAGTCGCCGTGAGTCTGTTATGACTGACAACACATTCTTCTACACAACTAACGAAGATTAATTCAAACCAGTCATCAAAATAACTTGGAAATACAGACACCTCTACTGGAGAAACAATTTTGGTAACATGGAGAAAATAACTCATCATACCCAATGCCCACTTCCTTTCTTAAAGCTCACAGCCTTGGAGTACAGAACTCCTTAGAATTTAGGGCCTTTCAAGGGCTTGCCAATTTCCAGAGCTAGAACTGGACGGGGCATCAGATGCTCCTGTAGGTACCAGCACATGTAGAGACAAGAGGGAGACAGCAACTCCTGGGGAGACCCACAATATCAGCTTAGGCAGGCAGGAACCTATGGGATCTGGGGGCCTGCTGCTCGCTTCCTGAGCTCACCTTCCATTTCAGAAGTCCCCACAATCCGCCCATGAGACCAAGAACAAAGACAGGAGCAGGCCTGAACAATAATACAGAGGATGGAGCCATAACTAGTGGCATGAAATCTTCTTTCTGACTACCACTGACCCGACCTACAAGACCAATATTTGGTGCTACTACAAGCTTGAGCTTTTATTCCTTTTCACTATTCAGTGGGCCGGCAAAGCAAGACTGGATCTTTTTTTAAAAAAGGCAAAGGTCTGCTGCTACTTGGAAGCTGGAAACATCTATTTCTGATCAACTCTGTGTCATCTGCCTCATGCTCCAGCTTCGTGGACAGAGAGCTCTCCTGCTATTTCGGCAATCTTGTCCTAAATGCTATTTGCTGCCCTGCTGGATGGCTCCTCAGCCTTGCCCACAGGAATGCAATCTGAACTTTATCATCCCAGCATTGGTAGAAACAGGTCTAATTTTTTTCCCCTAAACGTAAGGAATGAGACTTTCTGTAAAATCAACTTCCTGCCTTTTCCTTGATCAAAGTCCTAGAATATCTCAGCCAGATTCAAGGAAGCTTGCACGGAAATGGGTGAGAAAGGCACAGCATCCTGAATTCGGCTTGTGTCGTACCAGTATTACTAAACCTGGAACAGACAAGCAGTATGGCCTGTCTGACTGAATTCAAGATGGTGTCAGCCAAGTGGCCCCTCTAAGCAGGGGATCTGCAGAATGACATTAAGACCAGCCTACATAATGGAGAGTCTAAGGAGGTTTCTGCACAAATTGAAAACAGGTCAGCGCATTAATATTGTAGAGGTCTGAATCTTTCTTTTATAACCAGTGAGATATTTTAGTCCTCATAAATAGGAAATAAAGCTGAACGGGCACCCTGGAGGGCCGCGTCTCTCTTTTCCAAACACGGGCCCTTTGGAGAGGAGACCTGAGGCTCCCTGATGCCTCTCCTTAGTGATTTCTTTGCTGATGTTTTGATATTTTGTTTTTGTGATTCATCGTTTTATTATATTTTTATTTCTGTAACTCACTGAGAGTGCCGCCACATGAAAAGCAAATGACAACATCTTACAAGTTAAATAAAGTAATAAGAACATAGGAAGAGCCCTGCTGGAGCAGACCAATGGTCCATCTAGTCCAGCATTCTGTCTCACACAGTGGCCAAACAGTTCCTTCGAAGGTCTAACGACAGGGCATAGAGGTCAAGGCCTTCTCCTGATGTTGCCTGGGATTCAGAGGTCTACTGCATCCGAACTTGGAGGTTCCCATTAGTCACCACTACATCACAGAAAGATCTATCCTGTATGACTCGGTCTAATCCCAATTTAAAGCATTCTGTGGCTGTGGCCATCACTACATCCTCTGGCAGCAAATTCTACATTTTAATCACTTGTTGTGTAAAGAAGTATTTCCTTTTGTCCGTCCTGAATCTACTGCCCATCAGCTTCATTGGGTGCCCTGCAGTTCTAGTATTTTGGGAGAGGGAGAAAAAGAATATAAATAAATAAATAACTGTCCCTCAAAATCAATTTTTTAGACAAAAAGGGGATGGCAAAAATGTAACAATTCTGAGCTTTGCCCATAATTAAATACTCAAGAACAAACTGCAGGATCACGCACACCCTACAACCAGCTCTTTCACAATGACCTATACCCAACTGTCCGGGACCTATAGTTGAGGGTTGCTTTAGAACAAAGGTGTCGAACTCATTTGTTATGAGGGCTGGATCTGACCTAAATGTCACTTTGTTGGGCTGGGCCATGTGTGCCATAAAATGTTGCGCCGAATACTGGAGATATAAACTGTATAAAGGACAGCAGCTGGTAAGCTCCGAGTTGTTGTATGCTCACTGCAAGGCCCCATGGGCTGGGAGGGGGCTGCAAAGGAAAACCTGTTTGGGTGAACTGGAGAGCCAGCAGTGCAGCATTAGGCCGATGCTCCCATGCTGCTTGGCTGCTGCAGATGAGGTTGTTCCACCGAATTGAAGCCACAATCAGAGTGGCTCTGCCCACACACCCCTGAGCAGTCTCCTGTTCTCTCCCTTGCACTAGTTGCTTGCAGGCTGCCTAAGAGCCCTGGAAGGGCCAGTTCCCCCCCCCCCCCAGGCCTTATGTGTGACACCCCTGCCTTAGAATTACCATTTTGTATGTAAAGTGCCATCACGCTGCGGCTGTCTTATGGGAACCCCATAGCATTTCCAAGGTAAGAGACAAACAGCGGTGGTTTGCCACTGCCTGCCTCAGTGTAGCAACCCTGGACTTCCTTGGAGATCTCACATCCAGTTACTAAACAGGGACGATCTTGCTTAGCTTTCACGATCTGCCGAGATTGGGCTAGCCTGCAATTAAGCATTAACCATGGGATTCGAGGATAGCTACATTGAAATTCCCAGCTAATGACACTAGTTCGAAGAAAGCACGGTTAAAGTCAGTGCCAATGTAAGCCTTTACCATGGTTAAAGCATCTTTGAGAAAGAAGAATGCAGAATTGAGACCTGCCGCTTTAGTCATGATTAATGGGCTGGGAGATTTACTTCTTTCCAGTAGGACTAACTCTTTCTATAAATTATACTTGGGCCTCCAAAAGCCTCCCGAGACTAAAAATATATTTGCAGCTGACTTTGACTTAGTCCTAAAATCAGAAAATGAGGACTGGCCTCTGCAATAAAACCTTTGAATCATTAATACAGAGTTTTCTGATGAATACAAAAAGAATATGCTTTATGTACAAATTGGCTAATTACTGATAAACCTGAATTTACAGAAATAACACCAGTATCTGAACTTGCTTTTCACAGTTTTTGCTATTTTTTAGCCAAGGCCTTCCTATAAACAATATGACAGCATTTTATTTAGGACTTTTGTGGGAGATTTCAGTGGCTCATTTAGGATCTCCCCCTTTTTGAATTTGCTGACAGTTCAGTGTAAACTATGGTGTCACTGTTAGTTTTATGTTCTTACATGCAGAGTTCCCAGATGTTCTGTCCTACCACAACCCCACCCCAATTTTCATTCATTTAGTGCTTTAGCCTCCCTGTTCTCAGGACTTGAGGGAAATAACTATCTAAAAGAAATGCATACATAAAAGACTAAAAAACAACAACACATCCTTTGCTTCAGGAGAATAGTACGTACCAGTTCACTTTGCAGAGCCCTTTGAAAAAGTCTTAGGAAAGAAGCCAAGCTAAAGCGGTACATGTTATTAATTTTGGACAAGTCAGAGATAATAAAGTACATCTTGCTGGCACTTTCAGCCAGAGGGAGATAGGCATCCCTTTCCTGGGAATAAAAAAGATTCCGTATTAGGACGCTACTGCCATCTAGCAGACAGAGAAAAGAAAGCAACTCCAGCTTGGAAAAAAGGACACATTCAGGTTTGGCAGTAGTCCTACAACACAGCACTGCAAATAACATTTTTGGAACAAGCATATTTCATAAACATTTAAAACTGCTTAACTACCAACTGGAAAAGGGATGAGAGCTGAAAATCAACTGGAAATGGGGAAGGGTACTACTGGAAGAGTGAGGGGGAACAACGTTAATCACAATGTTTGTCTGATTATGACAAATCACTTCAATAGTCTCAAAAGCCACCTGTGATTTGGCACACTGCTCTCCTTAGACATGTCTTGAATAACTCTCTCTAGAGTTGGATCCATAGTTTTTTTTTTTTTTAAAACTAATCCATTAGGAGGTGGGGTAGGGTGTTAAATCCAAATGCAAGATCATTTTCTATTGATTGGTGTGTAAATTTTTACATCTAATTACTCTTCATGAGGGTAAAATATTTACTGGGAATGTAAGTGGAAATACAGAGGTGATAAAGTAAATGTGGGGGTATCTAGCATGGATGCCAATTTAATTTGGGGATGACTTGTCTGTCACATGAGGCATTCTCTAAATGTCAGAATAACCTTTTGTGTTAAACTGTCTTTCTGATATCTGAAATATATCAAAATCTTGAGAGATCCTCTTGCAAGATGGCCTATGGTCCCCAACAAATGGAAAGGAAACAAAGAAGAATAGGGATTTTTTTGAAAGAAAAGGAGAAGAGGGATGGAGAGGAGTGGAAGAATAAAGCAATGGCTAAATTCTCTACTGCTGAAATGTATGTGACTTGAAAACGATTAACTTTGGCTGCATCAATGTCAACTAAAGCATAACTCTGGGCTGGATTGAGTACTATGTTTCTTGCAAAGCAGTATAAAATGATAAATATCTATTATCACTGACCATTGCTTATGTTTGTTTCAAACAAGAGGTATAATCCTTTATAATAAAAGGTCCAACCAGCTTCACATGAGACGTGCTAAAAGGACTGTAGAATCTAGTTCAGGGGCAAGTGAACTGAATTGTAGCTGCAATACTAGATTTTGTTTCATAAATATGCTCCAAAGAAGATAAATTTAGGGAATCCAGATTACCTGATCAAGAGAAATCTGAAGCCTATGGAACTCCACAAGTGATTCTTGGATGAGAGCACTACTTGCTTTTGTCTGATTCAGGGATTCAATCAGATCTTTGTTTTCAAGTATATTTCCCTGAGAGGTTGCAAGGGTCTGCAGGGGAGGGAAAGTTCGCTTCTGTTATAATTAGATTATGTTACGAAAACTATGAAGAAATGTTTACCAAAATAAACCTTGGAAAATAACAGTGACATCTAACACTATTAGAATCTTCACATTCATTTATTCTTTTAGGTAAAATATTTTTATTCTAGCTCTCCATCGAGAAGTAGAAGAAGAGAAGAAGAGGAGATTGGATTTATACCCCGCCCTTCACTACCCAAAGGTGTCTCAGAGCAGTTTACAAACTCCTTTCCCTTCCCCTCCCCACAACAGACACCCTGTGAGGTAGGTGGGGCTGAGAGAGCTCTTGACAGAAACTGCTCTTTTTCAAGAACAGCTCTTATCAGAACTATGGCTTGCCCAAGGTCATCCCGCCAGGTGCAAGTGGAGGAGTGGGGAATCAAATCCGGTTCTCCCAGATTAGAGTCCGCGCACTTAACCACTACACCAGACTGGCTACGCCAGATATAAGAGGAAGTTTATCACAACAGGAATCAATAAAAACCATAACACATTATAATAAATAATAAAATTTTCATCTATCAATGGCAAAGTGCTTGAGCCCACATGCTGTATGTTGCTACTGCTGAGTAGTACACACTGCTGCTTTTATGTTTCTTTTGGCTCTTGGCAGGCAGCGCTTCAACAGGGGTAGAAGACAGGAGGGACCTCATTTGCTGTTTAGTTCCAACCACCTGCCCCCTCCCCCAGGCAGATTTAAACAGCCAGGTGGGGCGTGTTGCTGGGATGAGCAACAACAGGCAGTGTCAAGTAAACTCTGATAATTAATCCATCAGAGGAATGGCTACATGGAAGGTTGCTAGGCAAAATTACTGGATTTGGGGGCAGCCAGTCAGCGTAAGTGACTTATCCCAAGTTATTGGGTCTGACTGACAAAAAAAATCTCAGTTGTGTCTGGGACTTTTCCCACAGCTGTCTGGTAGCAGGGCTTGAACCAGTCTTCATGCATGCTAAGCCTATGCCATTCTACATCAAGCGTGTCTTTCTTTGAAGTGTTTCCCATCCTGCTACATCTGGCTGGCTTCAGCACCAGGGCCACTGGAGGATTCCAGAAGCTCCGAGTGTCTTTTTCCCGTGTATCTAGTTGGATGTGTGGGTATAGGAATTATCTGAAGGGTATGAGGGCTTGTATTGCTACCTTATTTTATTTTGCTATTGATCAGCTTGCAGCTATCAAAAAAATTAGTTGTTCCTCATCTACTTCTTTCTCCTTGGTGGAATTCAAACCTTTCCCTCCTGTTTCCCATAAAAGGGAATGATAGGAGTATCTTCTGGGTAAGATCTGTTATATGTTTTCTTGTCTTTGTTCTGATGCCTGTGACCCCCACCTTCACAGGACATGAACACCTTAAAAAGGATATTATAGCTTTGGAAAAAGTGCAGAAAAGGGCAACTCGAATGATAAAAGGGTTGGAACACTTTCCCTATGAGGAAAGGTTAAAGCGCTTAGGGCTCTTTAGCTTGGAGAAAAGACAACTGAGGGGTGACATGATCGAGGTTTATAAGATTATGCATGGGAAAGAGCAGGTAGAGAAAGAGGTACTTTTCTCCCTTTCTCACAATTCAAGAACTCGTGGGCACTCCATGAAACTGCAGAGCGGTCGGGTTAGAACGGATAAAAGGAAGTACTTCTTCACCCAAAGAGTGATTAACACATGGAATTCACTGCCACAGGAAGTGGTGGGTGCTACAAGCATGGACGGCTTCAAAAGGGAATTAGATAAGCATATGGAGCAGAGGTCCATCAGTGGCTATTAGCCACAAGGTATAGCTAGGGGCTCTGGGGCAAGTGATGCTCTGTCTTCTTGGTGCTTGGGGGGGGGTCAACAGTGGGAGGGCTTCTAATGTCCTGGCCCCACTGCTGGACCTCCTGATGGCACTGGTATTTCTGGCCACTGTGTGACACAGAGTGTTGGACTGGATGGGCCTTTGGCCTGATCCAACATTGGCGTCTCTTATGTTCTTATGTAACTCTTGCCTGGAGAAAGACTGTCATATGAATTTTATCTACCAAGTGAAGCTATCTGAACTCTGGGCCCTTCTGATGAAAATGAATACCTTTGAAAGAGATTTGCACCCCCATTTTTACATCTCCCAGAGGTGCAGCAGTTGCAAGACATGCTATGATGCTTTCTATAGTGGAGGTGCTGTGTTTTTTACATTACCTCCATTTTTGTGTTCTCTGTGTGGGTGGATGCCAGCATTACTGTATTTTGGCTGGCCTCAATATAACGAACAGAAGAATACAAAATATTGAACAAATTTTTATACACTGGCACATTTCCAAGTAGGGAAGTGGGGCACAAGCCTCTGTGTTTAGTTGCCTCACCCGAAACACCTTCACCATCAGAACTACATTTAAATACTTGGAGTACTAAACATGTCAATTTCTGTTTTACAATCTATTCTTCATTAATCCAACAGCTTTGTCCTATCCTATTTTAAGCCTACATCCTTTTCTACAGCAAGCAATTCAACATTCTGCTGAAAATATGCCACAGTGTATTCATATTCTCATCAGTTAATTTTAAAAACAATATGATGGTAGGAAACAGACTTTTGGTATTTGGAGAATTTCATACAAATCCATGATGGCTAGGGAAAATATATACAGTTCTGGATTCCTTACAGTAACACTGTCCGAACCCCATCACTGCCATTATATATTTAAGCATCCAGTATTTTAAAATACTGAATTTCTGTATTAATCTAGCAAAAGCGGCATGTGTTAATTTTACCTCCAAAAGTGTTTCTTCAAGTTTTGCTAACTGTATCTTCTTATCTTCTTCCTGTTGTAACAGTTTTGTCTTCTGTTCTTCTAAATCTGGTTTCTCATGCTGGATAGTCAATGCTAACAGCTAAATGGAAGACAATGACATTTATGAAAAGAGAGGGAGAAGCATAAGCATTGTACAAATCTACATTTAGGGCACTAAGCACCATTTTCACATAATTGTTATTGTTTGCTTTTTGGCATGCTTTTGTAGTTCTCAATGAAAATTCAATAAACAAAAAGATTACCGAAGCCCTATTCTTTCTAAAATTCATACTGAAATATGCATTGAGTACAAACAGAACCCAGATGTCTTAGTTTATCAGTATATTTTGTTTATCAGTAGCATGAACTTGGGTTAGTCACAAGCTCTGGCACAGCTGTCCTTGAAAAAGAGCAGTTTGTGCGAGAGTTCTCTCAGCCCCAACCACCTCACAGGGTGTCTGTTGTGGGGAGGGGAAGGGAAAGGAGTTTGTAAGCCGCTCTGAGACTCCAAGTGAAGAGCGGGGTATAAATCCAATCTCTTCTCTTCTTCTTCTCTCTTCTAAAACAAAAAAATATTTTCCATTCATTGCCTTGGCAATCATTTGTGCAAATAAAATTATCACCTACTGTTAATACCATTAAGCAAACAATACAGTAGCTGGTATCCAACGGCCATCTTGTGTGAGCAGAAGACTCTTCTGCTTGAAAAATCGGGGTCTCTGAATCCCACTGTTGTTGTTTTTCTGCCAGCTTCAAGAGGGCAGCTGTGTTGGTCTGCAACAGAACTAGCTTTGAATCCAGTAGCAACTTAGAGACCAACAAGATTTTCAGGGCAGAAGCATTCGAGAGTCAAAGCTCCCTTCATTAGGTATGTGCCAGCCGTAGCCCCCCTTTCCTTACCATTTCAGAGGATTCCCTGACTCTGGGGGATAGCTTTGTGTGTATGAGTATTGACGCACTCATGTGAAGTGAAAAGAATCTTCTCTGAATACAACCCTATGAACCTAAGAAACTTTCTACATCCTACCAGTAGCCTCAAGAGAACAACTCTGGCTTTATTTCTCACACTCAAAACACGTAGACTCAGTTACCTTGACACAGAAGTTATGCTCTGGGTGGATAAGGAAGGAAGCACCATTCATTTTACTAGGAAAGGTTTTTTGTAGGCTGGGAAATTCCACGTATATATTAGAATTCCAAGCCTGCAGCAAATAATTACACTAGGGAGATTGTGAGCAGCACTCCATAATCCATGATGATTAAAAACCAAGCCCAATGATCCAGAAGGACTCTCACATTCTGCCTTTTAGCATTGGGTGTCTTTTTTCACACAAGTTACTTTCAATACAGTAGAATTTTGAGATGTAAAAAAGACACTGAAGAAAATGTTAACTAAAATGGAATCTCTTCTCAGCGGGAAGTCTCTTTAAAAACCTCCAGCAGAAACCAGCTGGAGAAGAGTGCTAAAAGAAATTAACATATCTCCAAATCTTTGTGCTGTAAGCATTAATATTGCCTAAGGGGTATTTCAAACAAAGTAGTCAGGATCTTCCACAATTGTATGCAATCCAATGTCTTTTCATCAAAATGAAGAGCATGTTATGGAGATGCCTACCTGCCCCCTTAAGCCGCTTCTTGTTATAGTAAAGTTAACTTCTGTTACAATGGAAGCTGCATCGGGTGGGATGTAAGGATTGGGATTTCTTGTTGACAGAAATAGGAGAAATTCCTCATTGTAGTCAATGATTTTGTCACCGATTTGTACAGCATATCGTGGTCCTGTGAGAAAACAAAGAACTGCACTAGAAGATATGCACACAGTGGGAAAGCATTTAAAGCCAGATGCCCTTCAAAAATTACCAAAACAAACTATCTGGAAAATGCTACAAAACTTCCTTTAGGAAAAAAAAATCTAGCAAAAACACATTCTCATTACAGTGCCCAAAACTGCATAGCTGCCTGTATGCCTTAAAGTGGAATATTCATATGGCGCTCCCCTTCTCTGCACCAGCTGATGCCACTCTGGGATCTTCAATACAAATGGAATGCAGTGTAACAATGTTTGCATAACCTGAAGCCAAATTGCTTATTTACATATCTCTAGCTGGCTGTTCCATCCAAGAACCCTCAAAGCAGCTAACAATTACAATTCTAATAGTAACACGAAACAATTATGTCATTTACATAGGGACAATACCATTAAATGGTACACAAAAATTGTACGCAGCTTTTACAACAACCTGCTCGGCCTGAGATTCCCACAGAGAAGGAAGGGCAGGGATGCACCCATCCTCCGAGACCAGGAGAAAGCCCTTCTCTCTGGCTCTGATCTGATGACTCTTCAAAATCATTCACAGCTTAAGAAGGGGCGTTTCCATTTCCCTACCAACAGGCCTTCTCTGATTCTCAACAACAGCCTCCATGGTATAATGCATCCCTTCAACTGAGCTACTTAGCCCTCAGAGGTATTCACACATTACAAAGTACTTCCGCTGACAAGGACTTTGTATCAGACATGCAATGGCAGCCGATGTGGTACAGGGGTTAGAGGGCTGGACTAGGATCTAGGAGACCCAGCTGCATGAAAACATGAAGCTGCCTTGTAAGACTTTTGGTCCATCAAGGTCAGTGTTGTCTATTTTACTCAGATGGGTAGCAGTTCTCCAGGGTCTCAGGCAGAAGTCTTCCATATCACCTACTGCCTGGTCCTTTCAAATGGAGATGCCAGGAACTGAACTGGGGACCTTCTGTATGCCAAGGCATAGGCTCTACCACTGAGCCACAGCCCCTTCCTTCGTATCCCATCTCTGTCACAGAAGCTTGTTGGGTGACCCTGGGCCAGTCACACACTCTCAGCCAGAACTCACTCACAAGGTTGTTGTGAAAATAAATGGAAAGATAAGAGAATGATATCATTTATTTATTTATTTATTAGTATTTTTACCCTGCCCTCCCCACGTTGAGCCTCTTTGGGTCCCGATTGGGGATAGGAAAGTTAGTAATGAAGAAAATAAATCAATAAATACTTGTAAGTTTCCCTCAACTGGGCAAACAGCAACTCCCTGGAGCAGTTACAGAATGCAAATGATGATGATGCTGCTGCTGATGGTAAAGTCCTTCCTCCACATATATCAAGGTCATGGTCACTGTCAGAGCCATGTGTGTCTTGGAGGCACAGAACCCCTACTTCACTCCTGACACAAAGCCCCACCCTTCCCCCCCCCAAATAGGACAATTTACAACAAAAGTGAAAACAAGCCATCCTTCCAATATAAGAGAGATACAAATAAATCACCCTCATCTCAGTGACGCTACTTTAGAAACAGACCTCAACTTCTACACAACCACAAGCAACATAGCACCCATCAACAAAAGCCACTTTAGGAAAGCTACATTTTGCAGGTTCTCCTAGAAGTTATGAGAGCGAGAGTCCAATAAACAACTGTGCGCATTGGGGAGGCTGTTCAAGAATAGGGAGAGTCAACAGAAAACACTCAATTTATTGTTGACATCGGATGGAGGAGATTTAAAGGTAATATTCCAGCTCCCTGAACTGAAGCCAAATTAGAACCCAGTGCAACTGATTTCTGTCCTCATATCCCATCGCCGCTAAGCTTACTCAGGAGTCTTTGGTGAGGTACCTTGTCAAAAGCCTTTTGATAGTCCAAATATTTAATGTCTACTGGGTCCTCATTATCTGCAAGCTTGTTCACTTTCTTTTTTTAGGTAAACAAAGTTTTTTATTTTCATAGGAATTCAACATTTAACATTCAATCATTTTCACTTTACCATTGTTTACCCCATTCCCATTTCCTCCCTTCCCCTCTGTGGCTTCCCGCAATGCTTCCCCCCCAACTCCACCTTGCTATACTTCATCCATTATATCATTTTCTTATCGTTACAATCTCAAGATAACATCATTTGACTTAATATTGATCTAAACATATTAAATTTTGTTTCACATCCCAGTTCTTTTCCAGATATATTTTAAAGTCACTCCATTCTTGCTTGTTCACTTTCTTAAAGAAGTCCAAAAGGTTGGTGAATCAGGACTTCCCTTTGCAGAAGCCATGCTGATTTTCCTTCAGCAGGCTTTGATTGCATGTTCCACTAATTGTTAGGCTAGGTGGCCTGTAATTTCCTGGTTCCTCTCCAGACTCCTTTTATTTATTTATTATTTATTAACTTTATGTATGGACCACCTTTCTCACAGGGACTCAAGGCAGATTACACATAGCAAGGCAGTACAACCAACAAAATGGGACATTCAATAAATAATGTAACTAGGATTGTAGAAATTTGCAGCCAACCAGAAAGAACTGAAGCATAGCATAAAGTATTAACATGACACAGTAAGTGGTGGAAAAAATTACTCCCCAGTCTTCTGGTACAGAAGGCTGAGTACAGGGCTGAGTTTAGTGATGTTACAGATGCGGGTTAGTAGATGAATAATCTCACATTTGAGTTCCCTTGGATGTATATCATCAGGACCTGAAGACTTTTTGGTTTTTATTTTCCCCAGTAGGCTTAGAAAATGGGGATGCACTTATACCTGTAACCATTGTTCGAGTGATCTTCTGTGCTGGCACACATGGTAGACTGCGCTTTCGCAGGCCAGCCAGGGAGAGGTGTTGGCAAGCTCAAGAGAAGTTTCTAGACACCAAGGGTGCTCCCCCTCCCCCCAACTTCAGCGTCGCCTTTCCCACCCAAAGGGTCACTTGATGGAGGAGGGGAGAGCACTCTTCTCTCAATTCTCCCTTTGCCGCCATAAGGAGTGAGCATGAGTAGAGAAGGCCACAGCGGGGAAAGGAGGGAGGGATGTGTGCCTGCTCTTGGAGTCTCAGAGCGGCTTGCAATCTCCTTCCCTTCCTCTCCTCACAACAGACACCCTGTGAGGTAGGTGTGGCTGAGAGAGCTCTGAAAGAACTGCTCTTGAGAGAACAGCTATGAGAGAACTGTGAGTGGCCCAAGGTCACCCAGTAGGCTTCCTGTGGAGGAGTGGGGGAATCAAACCCAGTTCTCCAGATTACAGCCCACTGCTCTTGACCACTACACCAAACTGGCTCTCTGAACTGAACAATCCAAGGCTCTTTAGAGGCTCAGAATCACAAGGATCAATCCCCTCTCCCAACCAAGCAGCAACTCTAACAACCAGCATCACCTCTGAAAAGAGTTTGTAAGCCACTCTGAGACTCTGAGTGAAGGGCGGGGTATAAATCCAATCTCTTCTTCTTCTTCTTCTTTAGAACTGCTGCCAAACCCTGCTGGTCCTCCCCAGACCACATCAGCCTGAGGAACAAGGCACCACCATTCACAAAGGTTGGTCTTGTGTGTCCACCTGCTCCCACTCCCCTCCTCTTTAAAAGACCTAATACTGACTAGCACTGCTGCTATAACAAAACAGCAATAAAAGGTCATCTTAAATTTGTCTTCATTTCAATAGGGCTGCATGAAAATTGACTAATTTCATATGAAATCATCTCACGGTTAGCTTAACACTCTAAAAGCAGATTACATATTTACGTATTTATCGTACGTACTTTATTTGTAGCCCACCTTTCTCACTGAGTTTGAAGGTGGATTACACAGTGTAAAACAATGCATTTGTTGGTGCCGGCTCAGAAGGTGAGAAGTCTAGGGGTGGTCCTGGATGCCACACCTTTTATGGAGGCCCAGGTTGCCAGTTGCCAGGTCTGCCTTTTTATCATCTTCGGCAGATCAGGCAGCTGGTTCCCTATCACTCCCCCAGGACTTGGCTATAGTGACCCATTCAATGGTCACTTCCAGGCTTGATTATTGTAACTTGTTTTATGCAGGCTTACCCTTGAGGCTGATCTGGAAACTCCAGCTGGTGCAAAATGTGGCAGTGGGCCTGCTGACTGTGACGTCTGTGCGAGCGCGCATCCAGCTGGTGCTTTGCCAATTGCACTGGCTACCAATTGAGTACTGGATTTGTTTCAAGGTGCTGGTGTTGGCCTTCAAAGCCCTATGTGGCCTGGGCCCGACATATCTAAGGGACCGCCTCTCCCTATATGTGCCCTGGAGAGCCTTGCTGGGGTTGTCTCCAGCCCAAAGGACGTTCACTTAGCCTCAACTAGGGCCAGGGGCTTTTCTGCCCTGTTGGAACATGCTACCAATTGAGATCAGGGCCCTGCAAAACCTATTACAGTTTCGTAGGTCCTGCAGAACGGAACTGTTCCACCAGGCCTTTGGTTGAGGCAGTGGGTGTCATCAGACGGCCTCCCTGCTGCTATCTGGTAATGTTATTTTCTCCCTTTCTCACAATACAAGAACTCGTGGGCACTCCATGAAATTGCTGAGCGGTCGGGTTAGAACGGATAAAAGGAAGTACTTCTTCACCCAAAGAGTGATTAACACATGGAATTCACTGCCACAGGAAGTGGTGGTGGCTACAAGCATGGATGGCTTCAAAAGGGAATTAGATAAGCATATGGAGCAGAGGTCCATCAGTGGCTATTAGCCACAAGGTATAGATAGGGACTCTGAGGCAAGTGATGCTCTGTCTTCTTGGTGCTTGGGGGGGGGTCAACAGTGGGAGGGCTTCTAATGTCCTGGCCCCACTGATGGACCTCCTGATGGCACCTGGTATTTCTGGCCACTGTGTGATACAGAGTGTTGGACTGGATGGGTCTTTGGCCTGATCCAACACTGGCGTCTCTTATGTTCTTATGTTATACTGCCATTAGTAAGATCTTATGGTTCGGCTGTGGCCCAATCACTCCCAGCTATTAGGACGGCTGAACATGTAATCTGTTGCAATGCCTACCTTTTAACTGTTTTCACTGTTTTTATTGTTCTGGTATTTATGCCTTTAACAGTTTCAATTATTGTAATTTATTGTTGTGACCCGCTCTGAGCTCGCTTGCGGGAAGGGCAGGATATAATCGAAATAAATAAATAAAACAGCACGAGTCATCTAATAAGCAATCCAACAGAATGACAAAATCAGAAAGAATGTAAAAAAAGTATCAGACATGATACGTGATTCAAAGTAGAACATGAACCGGAAAGTAATGTACTAAGAGCAAGATAGTACAAACAGATACTACCTATCATAAAGAGTGGCAAAGATTACAGTCCTGATTCCTATTATAAAAGTGCCTTCCTAACCCATTCTGTACCAGTACTGCCCTTTTACCTTTATAAAAAATACCCTCCTGAATAGTTCTGTTTTCCAGACTTTGAAGAATGATAGAAGTGTGGGAGCCTTCTTGAACACCTCAGACATTCCATTCCACAGAGTGGGAACAACAACAGAGAATGCACATAACAAGGGCAGCATTGTGTTCAGTAACAACCCAGGAACCTGATATTAAGTTATTAGTAAAAGGTAAAGGTCTCCCTTGCTCGAAAGCCAGTCGAGTCCGACTCTAGGGTTGCGGTGCTCATCTCTGTTTCAAAGCCAAAGAGCCAGCACTGTCCAAAGACGTTTCCGTGGTCATGTGGCCGGAATGACTAAACACCAAGGCGCACGGAATGCTGTTACCTTCCCACTGAAGTGGTACCTATTTATCTACTTGCAATTTCTTGCTTTCGAACTGCTAGGTTGGCAGGAGCTGGAACTAGAGACGGGAGCTCACTCCGTCATGCGGCACACTTGGGTCTCGAACTGCTGAACTACCGACTTTCCACAGCCTGCAGTTCAGCGTCTTAACCATTTATTAAGGACTAAAAAAGAAAAGAAAAATCAATCACTTGAGCACAACAGATCAAAATCTTACTACCTACTTATTTAACACACATGGCTACCATTAAGCCTACAACTACTCCTCGCTAAACTGACTGTGGGCCATAATCAAGCATAGTCATAATATTCTTGTCCCATAGAGGTAAAATTGTTAAGCGTCAAGAGACAAGAGGTGAAGAATGCAACATGGTATGGAGCATTTCCCCTCCACAAATAGCAGTGACAGGCTTTTGGAGACAGGGAGTGTCCTTTAACCTTCTCCTAACAACAAAAAAGGTCAATGTAGTCCCTAGTAAGAACAATAACCCGGAAGACTGCTTCACGAGAATGCTATGCACTACTTTTTCTTCCTTGACACATAATTTTCACCTGCATGTTGTAAAAACATCGAATCCCCAAATACAATCTGTACAAATATCAAGTCACTACAACATATAAATCGTATTTTTCATAACAGGCTGTGAAACATTACCAACATGTGAACGTCAAAAGCAAATTAACAAAGCACCCTTGGGCTGTGTCCATGACTGCCCGCCATAGGAATTGTGCACCTGCAATGAGGCTTCTGCACAGCAGAAGTTTTCCAATTTCCTCTGTTATACTCCAGAGAATGATGCTTCGGGATTGAAAACAGAATGAGCTAGAAAGACAGTAGAGGTAGTAGTAGTGATGCCCGCATCATCCTTAACTCAAATACAGGGGAAATTAGTACACTTTAAAGCAACTGCTGTGGGACACAAAGATATAAAACGGACTTAAATCTGTAATTAAAATCCAGCTTCTCATCTGAACTTCAGACGTTCCTTAAATAAAAATGTCAACTAAGTAACTAATACAATTATTGAAACATTTTTGGTTTCTGAAACAACAGGATCTTCAGATTTCCTAGGAGTGTAACCCAAAGCCTTTATTCCCACAGCCGTGTGCACTACAGTATTTGATGAGTTTAGACACAGAAAGGCACAAATAGATTTCTGTTTGTTTCTTTCCCTTGGCACCTCTTGGAGGCAGGGGCTAGCTCCCAACATCTGTATTGACTTGCCAGACTCCATCCCTCAGTATCAAATCAAAGTAATAAAAATAGCACATGACCCATTGTGCCATTCAGGAAGGCAGATACACCCCCCCCCCAATTATTATTTCTTAACATAAAAAACTGCTTTTAACTCAGTGGCTTCGATCAAGAAATGTATTTCAGCTGTGCTCAATGACATCTTTTTAAACCCAGTACCATAGCAGCCCCCCCCCCCCAGAACAGCAGATAAACTAGTTTTGAACTATGTTCAAGAACACACCAAAATCTATTGTGTGTATGGAACTAGTCAGGTTACTCTCTAGGTTGTGGCCATATTCTGATAAAGGGTCATGGCTTTAGTTGTACAAAATGATATGCCGTAGCTTGGTTCTTTCTGTTAACTCTCTTCTGCTTGTTGAATGTTGACGGGGAAATGGGACTTCTGATAAAGGGTCATGGCTTTAGTTGTAAAAAATGATATGCCTTAGCTTGGTTCTTTCTGTTAATTCTCTTCTGCTTGTTGAATGTTGATGGGGAAATGGGAAATGCATACTAATCTGATACCAGGGTTACAATGAAGTTATGATTTAACCCCCCCCCCTGAAGTATTTGACAATACTTCCTTATAATGAAACCTGTGACATTGTAAAGGCCTACTGTTTATAGTACAGAGCTAATATTATGGCTAGATAGTACCTGAGATCTCTAATGACCCCAATTTAAATTCCAGAGTCATATAAATCCTCTGATATCTTTATTCATTCAACAAAAAATCTCTGGTGGTTTGAATGAAAAAGATATGTAAGCGTTAACTATTTGGTATATTTTAAATTCAGATCTCCTTTTATGATGTTCCATCAACAGAGAAGCAGATGCAGTTTGGTTAACTGGAAGTTTCCATTGTGCTAGATTCAATTGCAATCCCTTGGGGCCCAATGCCATTTTAGTAAAACCTTCAAATACATGCATACTCATGCACAGATGGAGGCAGAAACACTGCAGGAATCGTCCATTTTACTGAAGGATAATAAATGGAGTATGAAGGGGCACAGGTTGGGGGAGGTCTTTTGTATTCAGTTAGGGCCCCAAAATGAACTGGAGAATTAACTTTAGGCTACATTTAAGAAGCCAGTGCGGTGTAATAATTACAGGCTTAAACTAAGACCTGGGAAAGCCAAGTTCAAAGACCCATGAAAGTGACTTTGAACACTTTCTTTCTCAGCCTAACCTACCCTATAGGCAGGGCTCTTTTTGTAGAAAAAGTCCAGCGGGAACTCATTAGCATAATAGACCACACCCAAAAGCAGGAAATTATAAGTATATTAGGCCACACCCCTGACAACACAGCGCATTAGCATATTAGGCCGCACCCCCATGTTACCAGAAGTGTAGTCATCCATCCACACCCACCTTTTGCTTCTTGTTCTGTTTACCCTGTTTGTTGTCAAAACCCAGGGCTTGTCTTGTAGCAGGAACTCCTTTGCATGTTAGGCCACACCCCTAACGTAGCCAATCCTAATGAGTTCCTGCTGTTGGGTGTGGCCTATTATGCTAATGAGTTCCTGCTGGGCGTGGCCAACTCGGGAGCCAGCCGGAACTCCGTCCCTGTGCGTTCCTGCCCAAAAACGGCCCTGCCTATAGGGTTTTTGTGAGGACAACACTGGTCAGATGGCTCCCCAAACACCACCCCCAAGCCCCGGGGAGGAACAGCAAGTAAAAAAAAAATCTAAATAATGTAAAAGTAGGTTTTTTAAAACTGAAAATAAACTGGTTATAATTGAAACATTACAATGAAACATTTCTTTTTATCCACACTGAACAACAGAACACTTCGGAATGGTGCACTGTTTTGTCCTTTTATCCGACGGAGAAGCAAAAAAATACCTTGCATTCCTCCCATGTTCTAAGCTGAAAAATTACCTTGAGCAATAAGGTCCTTTCTTAGTAGTGGATAAAGCACAGGCTCTACTCCATCCATTTCCTGTATGATGAGTGTTTTCCCAAATCGCACAGCCAATTCAAGGGCATTAATGAAGTTGGCATCCTGCACAAACAAAATTTCAGTACCACTGATTGTTCTAGTTTAACATCAGCACATTACTATACAAATGAAATGCAGCAAGGAAAGTCTTTCAGAGTGTGCCCAAATGTACACAAGGCTTAGTGAAGTAATTTTTGTCAGAAATACATTAGAAAATCAGATTTACTACCTAAAAAAGAAGAAATAATGGAAAAAATATTCGAAATAGCAGAAATGGACAGATTAAAAATATATTAGCAGAAAGAGACGATAACGTTTATAAGAAAAGATGGTTTAAAGTGTATAAATGGTTTGAAAAAAATGTATAATGAACACTCCGAAACTGATTTGTACAATAAGAATGTATTGGATTTTTATTTTTTGTTTGTTTGTCTGTTGGAAAAAGTATAAATAAATTATAAAAAAAAAATAAGAATGTATTCGGATTTTTATTTTTTTTGTTTGTCTGTTGGAAAAAGTATAAATAAATTATAAAAAAAAGAAAAAAAAGAAATACATTAGAAAAGATAGGCTGTCCCACTTGAGTTCTACTAATTATTTTTTCTAAGAAATCATGTACAATCAGGGTGTTCTACAACATGCCTTGTGGCAAGAACAAAATACAGTTCCTTGGATCCAGCATTCAAGAGCTAAATATACAAAAGACTATACATGCAATCCTTTGATGCTTGTGTCTAAAGACCAGGAAAAATACAGTGTATTACTTCCAAGAAGTGGTGAGCGTAGGTCACTGTCCTATTTCAAAATTTCCTTTGACTTGGAGAAAAAATATTTCCAAAGAATCTAAAGCAAAGGATAGGAGAGAGAAGAGACTGTGCCTGTGTGCAATCCCTAGGATGCTGAAAGAAGAATTAATGGGATCCCAAATGTACAGACAACTCTTTTTCCCAACCCAGCATTCCCCTCAGAACTACAAACAGTGACACTAACTTTTATCTCTCCTCTCAAGCATACCTAAGAAGTGACATGTTGCCCAAATATTGTTGAGAAATACTCATACTTAGCCACAGAAAAAACAACTTTCCCAAAAAGTTTGGGGAGGGAGAACCAGGAGCTCCGACTGTGCTGTTCTACTGGAGGGTAGGAGCCAAGTGCAGGCTATATACATTTCAGGAGCAACTGCATTTGGAAAGCAGAGGAAAGAGGAATATTTGAACTGACATTTTCCCCCCCAAAGGTGCAGGCATTTATCAAGCTGGCAACAGAAGTATAGTGTCCAGATCACAGGAAATGATGGTTATCACTTTACTCTGCCCTGGTTACACCTCACCTAGAGTATTGTGTTCAGTTTTGGGCATCACAATTTAAGAAGGATATAGACAAGATGGAACATGTCCAAAGGAGGACAACGAAGATGGCGAGGGGTCTGGAGACCAAGTCCTATGAGGAAAGGTTGAAGGAGCTGGGTATGTTTAGCCTGGAGAGGTGATATGATAACCATCTTCAACTACTTGAAGGGCTGTCATATAGAGGATGGTATAGAGTTGCTTTCTGTTGCCCCAGAAGGTCGGACCAGAACCAGTGGGTTGAAATTAAATGAGAAGAGTTTTTGGCTAAATATTAGGAAGAACTTCCTGACAGAGCAGTTCCTCAGTGGAACAGGCTTCCTTGGGAGATTTTCAAACAGAGGCTAGATGGCCGTCTAACAGCAATGCTGATTCTGTGAACTTAGGCAGATCATGAGAGGGAGGGCAGGAAGGGTTGCATAAGTGCTTAGTTCTTGTGGCCCTTTCTTACATGCCCAGGGAATGCTGATCACCACTTTTGGGTCAGGAAGCAATTTTTCTCCAGGCCAGTTTGGCTGGAGATCCTGGAGGTTTTTGTCATCTTCTGGGCGTGGAACAGCAGTCACTGGGGGTGTGGGGGGGAGGTACTTGTGAATTTACTGCATTGTGCAGTGAGCTGAACTAGATGACCCTGGAGGTCCCTTCCAACTCTATGATTCTTCATATAGATGAAGAGCAAGTATGCCATGTTCTCTCCACCAGGCATATAATACAGATGTTTGTTGGAGATGATCAACTGTACAATCAACCAACCTGCACAATTCTCCCCCCTCTGAAAAGGGGAGAAATCACTATTTATATGGAGCACCTAAGTCACATGGAACATTACTTACATTGTAAAAGGACAGATGGCTACATCTGTTCTCCATTCTATGAAGACACTTGCCAGGCTCATGGATGTCTGAACCAGGCCAATGAGCTATTGATGTGAATGACTCCCTCTATGATTTAAATGCCTTTGAATCTACTTGTGTGAAAGAATAAGGCTGAAGCTGAATTGCTGCATCCTCAAAAAGAGTAGGCGGCTGTTGCTGGGGATCATGGGACCTTCATGGACAAAAGCCCCATGGGGCATGTAATAATTACACAGTGTAGGAACATATGGTGAGAAGGTTGCTCTTGGCAAAGCCAGGGAGGGAAATCCACATAGCTTCAAAGGGGAAATGAAACTACCTATATGCATATCCTGACATATACAAAGAGATTAAGACTGCAATCCCAAATATGCTTATTAGCGAGTAAGAGCCATTGAGTTCACTCGGACTTACTTCCAAGTAAACATATTTAGGTTTACAGTACAACTTTTTGTTTCATTTTAGGTGGCTGTCAAACAAAAATAGTAACCAACAGGTTTACTTCTCCAAAATCACAAAACAATCTTCAACTTTCTAAGCAGACCTGCTGGTTAATAATTTCCAAGCGTGCTTCTTTCAAGTGTGTCTTCAACCACTCTGTAGCTCTGGAAGAAGGGTCTATCAAAAATGGACAAACTTTACTCTGTTGGGGGGAAAAAAAGAAGGTTATGTTTCAATCATGTTTATTATGGCCGGAAAGTATACAGCTACTCAATTTACCTTTAAGACCCACTTCTGTCATTTATTTAAGAGATTTCTCATCCAGTTATCCAGCAACAACTAATATTAAAGCAAAGAGCTGGATAGTTAAAAAGGGAATACATTTTATATAGCATATACATCGATATGGATAACATCTGAGCAAACCATTACAGTTTGACTCATATCTTAACAGCGAATTTCCTTCATACTTCTTAGACCAGAAGGATTTCAAGTAGGAAAATGAAAGATATTTTGGCTGCTGAAAGGTGCACTAGAGTAGGTTTGGGCAGAAACTATTCTCAGTCGTTTCAAATAATGCCATCAAGTATTCTAGAGATTTTTACCTTCACCCTCATGAGACAATAACTAGGTGCATCTACCTTTCTTTCCCCCAATACATGGCTTACTGTAGCCTTAATGGGGCATTTTGAATTGTGGAAGAATTTCTATGGAAGGAAAAGGAATAACCAGCCTCTCACCAAGCACAGCTTCCCTGATTTGTTTTAGACTTAAGAGAAAGTGAAAGGAAACCTCTTCTTTTGCTTGCCCTTGGCAAACAAGGCAGGCTAGCAGTAAGAATCGAGCACAGAAAGTACCCTTCCCACAGGAGCAAGCATGTCAATATGAATGTACTGCTAGCCGGGCAATACCTTGAACGGAACAAAAAACAAGCGTTTACCTGCAATATCACAAGGGCATTCTCTATTGACAGATCATCTGAGGGCAAACCTTCACTTTTCCAAATCAATTGCTCACTCTCTGAGCACAGGAATCGCCTAAGATCAAATTCTAACAAACAGAAAACATCTCTTTTAATTCGGCTGAATTTGTTTGAGAGTGTAATATGGCTTCTTCCTATCTTAATAAGTACCTAGAAAACATTACACTGCAGTTACTTTAGTGCATTTTCTTTTTCTGCATTTTTGTTATTGGGAGTGAAGACAGAACCCCTGGCAATTCAGACTCGCCAGGGGTCGTGACATTTTGGCAATTGAGCCACAGAGAAGGTGGATTATGAAGCACTATAGAGGGGCTTACTCAGTATTTAAAACTATGGCTTTACAGTCAGAAAAAGTGGAAGGGAAAAGACACATGGGCATATAGATTAGAACATGAGTATGGTGCAGGGGTTAGCATGCCAGACATTATTGGTCCACAGGGCCTGTAAGATGGAGCTGTTCCACCAGGCCTTTGGTTGAGGCAGAGGGCATCCAATGAAGTTGGCCTCCCTCACTGAAGTTTGTCACCATTGCTTGGCCCAGATTAAGTAGACCTCTGGACCCAACCACTCCAGCTGAAACTATGGCCGAGTTCAGACTGGCAGTTTGAAGCAGGAGGGAGTCGTGGCAAAAAAGACCCGGAACAAACTGTTCCAGGTTTTCCTGGTCACACTGCACACTGACTGATGCAGGAGCATACCGGGGAGGAGGCACAAGGGAGCGTTCACACTGTTGGCCCCCTCCACTAGCGGAGGCACGGCTGTAAGGCGTGGCTTTCTTTTTGGTAATCTGGAGATATGCGCATAAGAGCATAAGCGCACAAGAAAAACTGCAGCTTTTGGCGTTCACACTTTGTTGGTGTGGAATGGACGTGGGATAATCGTGCTTTCCAGGGTTTGCTACCACTTTCACCAGGTATCTTTTAAACTCGGGAGCGAAGCGTTACAAGACGGGTTGAGTACGGCTGGGGAACGCCGGACAGATGTGCCTGTGGGAACGGCCCCTTTAATCCGGTTGTGGAACGTTTCTGAAACGTTCCTATATCGAGGCAAACGGCCAGTCTGAACTCGGCCTATGTTTGTGTTTATGCACAATTGTTTTAAATTGTATTACTTAGTAGTTTTATATATTATTATACTTATTAATGTATGTTTTCATCTATTTATGATGTGATCCACTCTGAGCCAACTCGTGGGGAGGGCGGAATACAAATCCAAATAAATTAAATAAATAAACTAGGACCTGGGAGGTCTGAATACGCATTTTGCCAGAGAAGCTCACTGGGTGACTTTGAGCCAGTCACTCTCACAGGGCTGTTGTCGTGAAAATAAAACGGAGGAAGGTGAATTATGTTGTAAGCCGCTTTGTTCTCCTGGGGAGGAAAGTAGGGTATAAAAATTTTCTCCCCTATGAACCCTGCCACTTTCAGAGATCCACAGTGAGACATGCTTTAAATTCCATCATGTGGAGGGACAAGGAGCGGGGCCTTCTTAGCAGACACCCTAACATTATGGAACCAGCCCCCCTCCCCCACAAGGTTCATCATTTTGTTCATCCAAGCTTTTGGGATGGATACCTGATCAGCTGACTCTGTGCTGAAACCTGAGGGTACTGTTTTTGATGATGCTTTAACAACGTTGGCTTTTACATTCAGGTTGTAGCATTTCAATCAGATTTTTAAAGCCCCTTTTCTTGTAAATGAAGTGATATACAAGCAGAGAGACATTAAAACAACCTGATTTACAAGCCTTCCTGACTAAAAGCAGTACACCATTAAGCATCTACGGCTAGATGAGCACTCAGCCTCTGAGGATTTCGTTTGTTTGGAGAACGTGTATGTGTCTTTTTATTATTGTTTTTAGAAACATCCCCACAGAGACATAAAAATAACAACAAATGTACAAAATCAATTTAAAACAATTAAATTCATCTTGTAACACAATTATCAAAACCCACAATAACTGAAGATAGCAGAGAAAGCACTAGCAGGGGGAAAGTTGCATTCTCTAGGCTACAAAGTCCGAGTGAAAAAAATGACAGAAAATTCAAGAAAAGATGCTGGGACCCGCCCCCCCCCCCCAGCCCACCTCACATAACTGTGAAACAAATGCACTTTTTTTTTTACTGTTGTCTGAAAGGACCATAAATTATTTCAAGGAGGTCAAACGAACACTTTTTGTTTCTTCTGATCTTAGCAATTATTACTAGGAGATGAGAAGCTTTCCTTATTGTTGAATCCAGGGAAGCCTTGAAATCAGATTTTACTGAATCGCCATGCAGTTAATGCTCTTATACTACAGGAAACATTATTTAATCATGCACAGACTGAACAAATTATTGCTTCAAGGGAGTCACTCATCTATTGGGCACGAGTAAATCAGCTATAGGAAAAAAAACATAATTTATTCCATCTCTGCTTTCCCCTCAGCGATGCTATATTTATCTGCAGTCAGTCTGATATGAACATTTTCTGAAATACATTTTAGACGATTTTGCTTTAAACAGGCTGTGTAAAGAGACTAGCGCAGCTACATTTCTAAGAGGACTGAATTATAAAGCTCTTTCCTGAGGTTGTATTGTTTTCTCTGCCTAGCCACTAATAGAATTGGATCCTGTAGGGTAGGAACCACCCCTGTCTCCAAGATCAGATGATCTGCCTGCAGTCTCAAATCTTTGTGCAATCAACCACTTAGCAAAGCAGCAGATATTGTTTGCTTAAACAAAGAACACTGTTGGAAAGTGTCTAGACCTCTGATTCTCAAGCGTGAGGCATGAGAATTTCCTAAGGAGGCAGCGGAAGCTCCCAAAAAGTGGGATTCTCCTCTCTAACCCATCCAAACCAAGTTTCCACGATGAGTTCACTGACAACTTATCATTTATCAATCTACTATTCATCACATTCATTGTTTCTCTGAGGTCCTAGAGAACAACCTAAGCTGGTCTACTCAGAATCCTACTCAGGTTTACGTACTGGGTCCAACTCCCAGGGCAGTGTTCTTAGGATTGCAGTGTTGGTCACTTTAAATAGTGCACCAAAGTCCAATTCAGATTTGTTGTGTGTGTGGAAAGTGCCATCAAGTTGCAGCTGACTTATGGGTGATCTCACAGGGTTTTCAAGGCAAGAGACTAACGGAGGTGGTTTGCTATTGCCTGCCTCTGCATAGTGACCCTGGAATTCCTTGGCAATCTCCCATCCACATACTAACCAAGGCTGACTCTGCTTAGCTTCCAAGATCTGACAAGATCAGGCTAGGCTGGCTATCCCGGTCAGATTTGTTACCAACTGTTACATTAGAGCACTTTTGGGGTGTAAGAAGAGAATTAATGCTGCCAGCTATGCAGCCTGGTATTTTTTTTTCTTCCTGGCTATGCTTATGAAGGCCTGTGGAGCTGGCACAGAGGATCCTCAGGTAAATTATTGGGTTTTTCCTCCGTGCACACCAATATAATAATTTCTTCATCTTTAAGCAGCATGCTGTATAATTATGTTGTCAAAGGCTTTCACGTACGAAGTTCACTAGTTGTTGTAGATTTTCCGGGCTGTATGGCCGTGACCAAGACCATGGCCATACGGCCCAGAAAATCTACAACTGACACTGTATAATTTCTTGTTTTCTGATCAAACAAAGTGTGATATTTACTTTCCAGGCCAGCCGACTTTGTCCAGGCATCCAAACTTGCTTTTCTTTGATCTTCTGGTGCAGCAGAAAGATAAGTAATGAAAGCCGCAGCCAACTGAGCTCTTCTTGGTAGCGTGCTCAGTTCATCTGCTATCTCTGAAACCTAAAAAGAATAGATTCCCAACATGATTTTAAGATGTGAATATGATTTGTGGAAAGAACTGTTAAATAGCAGTATGTTGATTTTAAAAAGACTGCTCAGATGTATCTTCAGAAAAACAGGCAACAGTCAGAAACTCGTGCTGTACATATTGTACAACTCATCTATTTCATCTTTACCCACAATTGTAGTCATGGACATGACATACCTCCTGCCCCAGATCTATGTGTTTATGGGCTACTTGGAAGAAGGGAAATTTTGTCTCACATGATGAACAGATATGGAAAACAGAACTTTAACAAAAGAACGATGGACACAGAACAAGATAACAGGATCAAGAAAAACGTTGCATATTAGGAGACAACATTTTATTCTCTGGATACAGGCAGACATATCAGGGCACATAAAAGGGGTAGTTCTAAATATAACAAAACTGATGCAGAGGCCATTGGTGGAATTACTGGTCCAAAACTCTCTGGGGACACTTCTGCTACAATTATCAGCAGCCGAATAACAAGAGTGCATTTGTAAGGCTCAGTGAAAAAACCAGAATTTGCCCAGTATAACAAATCTTTTTCTGTAAGCGAGCAGCGCAAGAAAGCTGCTGAAACTCTACTGTTTCTGACATGCAGAAATTCCTTGAGGTATTTAAAACATTTATATGATGCCTCTTCAGAGACCTGCTAAAGGTGGCTCAAAAATAAAACAAGGTAAAAGTCTTAAAAACATTAAATAATAAAAAGCTCAGCCAATAAAATCAAAGAAGCATAAAATATTTGGCAGCCTAAATAATCTCCATAACTGTCCTCAGGATAGAAGCAGATTGTAAAAACAATTAAAAAGATCACCCTTAAGAAAATTCTGAATTTATTCCCTTGTCTGATATATGATAGTCCAAATGAATAGAGCTCTTAATCTATACGCCAGAACAGCCTCAGAAACTTTGACCTCAAGGGATCCCAGCCTATAAGAAATTAAAAGGCTCCAAATCCCTTTGAGGCTATCATTCTCTCAAGATAAGCCTTAATGTATCATTAAATTCCAACTTATGCCATTTTCCCTCTAAGCACTGAGAAGGGTTTGAGCAGAGATACTATAGGGGTAACTCCCATGATGGAGTTGATTTTAGGCATATACTCAGTCTGCCTGGAAGAACAGTTTTTTCCTTGAGAGACCCTGTGCCTCAGGAAGAAGAACAAATACAGATACTCCTTGTGTTGAAATGATGGCAATCAGAAAGATCATTTTTAGGTGGACTGTCTCCTTCCATATGTCCTGGTGCGCCAACTATGGTAGTCTGTTGGCTACCCCACCCCTTAGCCCAGTCTAGCATTGACCAGAGCCTGGGTCTTTTCTGTCATGAAAGGGGCTCACTGAAGTGGGAAAGGCAGAGAACCTCCTTAGAGATCTTCAGGAGGCTCTACAAGGCCTGCTTGTTTGCCAGGGCTTTTGGGGGTGTCTGAAGGGCAGGCATCTTTTAAGCAGGGGGAGGGAGGGAAAGATTTGGGAGGTGTTATTTTATTTGAGATTTAACTAAAATATTTTAACTGTTATTGTAAGCCACCTTGAATCAAGGGGAAAGGTTATACATGTTTTTACTAAATAAATAAGTGTAAATACACTGATCTCATACTATTACTAAATAAAAGAGGCCTCCTGTGAAGGCTGGCTGAATTGTTTACCTTTTGTCTGCTGATGAAGGTCTTCACCTTCATGCTGTCTATTCTGACATGATTCCCAGTTGGATTATGAGCTCAGTATCAAGAGGTACAGGAGGTGAGTAGCCCAGCTCAACACATGGGCATTTGTTCTCTAATCAGGGTCTATTGGGGAAGCAGCTTGATACGGTGGCCATAACGGCCATTGAAGTGAGTGGAGAACATTCCTGGGGAGCAGGACAAGTATAATTCTATACTATATGAGTCTGGAAAGCAGAGGTCAAAGATGAAAGGTGTGACCATGAAATGTTTCCCAAAGACTGACCTCTATGACTAACTACTGATAGTTCCTTGATGTTGCACCAACTCTAAAGGCTTGCCCAAGAATTTAATTTCACTTTATGAAATAGTTGTACCAGACTTGAGTCTACACTCTTTTGAAAGAAATACAGTTTGAGTTATGTGTCTAATCTCAGTCCAAGATCAGCTAGGGTTTAATTGGAAGAAGGAAACACTTTGAAAAGTTAGTCCTCACTTGCGCTTCTGAAGGCAACTGATCATGGTACTAAGATCCTTCTGAAGCAGCTGGAAGGAAGAGACCGACTGAGATGTCATGTAAGTGAAGGCAGATGGCTTGAAGACCCAAGTGAGCTACTTGGGCCAGCAAGACTTTGAGGAAAATATGAGGTCACTTCCAAGTGAAGCACCCCAATATTGATACTGTTGGCCACAGAAGATAAACTAGTACTATATTCTGTGGTACTGAAAAATCAGAATATGAATATATGCCTCCATAATGCAAACTGAGGCCAAGAAATCCTCATACGGATCACCTACGAGACTGATTTAACTTACTTGGTTGACACTGGTCAGGTTGAGACTATTTTAAAGAAAGGCAAAATCTTGGAATGTGGGAATGTTGACATGTGTTCTCTTGAAGAGACTGAGACCATCATGCAGAGACTCCACTTTAAGAGGGTGAGATAAAACATGGGTTGGATCCAGAATAGATTTTCCAACAGCAGAACTAAACTTTCCTGCATCCTCCCTCCAATGCAGCCCAATGAGCTTTACAAAATGCTGTACCTGAGGGACAGGGGACCCTGCGGAATGACATGTGGAGAGATCTACAGTGGGAAGGGGGAACCAGAGGAAACTGCCAGTTTAGTCAGGATACAACCCTATGTCTCTTCATGGGTAAGGAACCCCTAGTAATCTTAAAGGAACAAATTTCAAACAAATTAAAAACATACTGTTTTTACTTGGCAATAATGCAGTGCTTCAGCAACTAACCTGTGTGTTCCATCTCTTGTGTTCCCTATCAAGCTGCTTAATCAGTATCTCTGCAGCTTTCACTGTTTCTTGTGCTTTAGCAACTTCTGCTTCAAGCTTAGCTGCCTCAGAGGTTCTAGCCTGGAACCTGAATAAGAATTACATTTTAATTAATCCTTAAGAAACAAAGCTTTCAGAATGCATTACATTTAAAAACCAGAGGTGGTGATAACTTAAATACTAAAACAATATCCAAATAAATATCCAAAGCAACCGCATTTGTTAAGAAAAAGAGCTGATACATACTTATCTCTTAGTTCTGCTACTTTTTGGCCCACAGAATTTAGCAAGTCTTCTAGTTTCTGTTTTCTCTCTTCAGTTTTCCTAAGGTTACTAAAATAGATTAGAAATGCAAATTAAGGTCCTTATCAATTAAGATGCAAAAGTCATCTAAGCGATTACAACCCTTATGCTCACTGCTGCCATAGTTCTGTGATACAGCACATGTGCAGCATGCAAGAAGTCCCAGGTTCAGTCCCTGGCATCTCCAATCAAAAGGCACTTAGGTAATAACAAGTAAGCAAGCCACAGTCAGTCAGAATGAATGGATCAGTTGTTTGAGTTAGTAACCGATGGCAAACGTTGTTTGAAGTATGCCGGAATAATGGCTTGATGTATCCCAGAACATGATTTGAAGGGATGCACCCATGTATTACCCCAACTGCATCATTTGTCTGAGAAAGAACTGGATGTGTTTTAGATGAGAAGTATGACTCTGGGATCTGATGTCCACACTCCTTTTAAAAAAACACAGGGGAGCACATATATGGAAGGCACAAAAATATGACTTCAAACCTCAGCTTCAGAGGATAGCTTTGCTAGTCTGAAGTAGAAGAGCTAGATTCAACTTCAGTAACATGGTTAGTAACATTTCACACAGAGATCATTCCGGGGGGGATCGAAGTCCCCCGGGGTGAGGTACAGGGGGGCGGGGCACATGACGACGCCCCGCCCCCTGCTTCCGGCTGCCCCGCTTCCAGCCCTCATTCAGCCAGGAGGAGGCAGGAGAAGAGGGAGGGTAAGTTGCTTCCTCCCTGCCTCTCCCCACCCCTGCCTGCCTGGGGCCAGGGAGGGCCTTCGTGGGGCTTCCTTGCACTCCCGCCGGCCTTGCAGGTCCACCGCCGGGTCCCTCATGGGGCTCGGCAGTGGAGCTGCAAGGCCCCTGGCGGTGGCCGGGACCGTTGGGGGCGGGGTGTGTGGCCTTATGACACACTTCTGGTGATGTCAGGGTGTGTGGCCTTATGACACACTTCCGGTGATGTCAGGGTGTGTGGCATATGCTAATGAGTTATGCTAATGAGTTCCCCTAGCTCTTTTTCTACAAAATGACCCCTGATTTTACAGACCAACAAGATTTTTGGCACATACGCTTTTGGGTGTCAACACACCCTTCATTAGACACCAGTATCTGGCAAAGCGGACTTTGACTCATGATAGCTTATACCTTGACAATCTTGTTGGTCACTAAGGTTTTACTGGAGTCAAATCTAGCTCTCAGACATCAGTCTGTTTCTGAGAGAAGACACTGGCAAGGGTGGCTGTCAGGAAGCAGATCCAGATGTTACACAGTTTTACTCAGGATCAGTTACATGCATACAATATCCATGACTTCTGAAAACATGAAAGCAGAAGTCAGAATATTTATCTAGAACAAACTACACAAGTAAGTTTAAAGATATACATTCTGATCCCATGACTGCTGACTTCAAAGCAAGGCCCACTGAATTCAACATAGAATTGCATCCTTAGGCTAAAAGGGAGGTCTTACTTGGCCCAAATAATAGGCTCAATTTTTTAAGGAAATGTGGGGTGGTTTAGAGTAAAGAGCACTAGATTCTATACCTACAAATCACCAACTGTTCTATTAATTCCATAAAACGAGAGTAAAACTTGGTTTCCTGGTAGAAACTGGCTACTAAAAAGTGAGTGCAGATTAACATACAAGATTTCCTATTTTAACAGAACTGTCTTAAGCAGAATTATACCTTTTAAGTCCATTGAGTCAATGGGCTTAGAAGAGTGTAACTGCTTAGGGTGGCATACTGTTAACCAGAGTTGCAACTCAGAACAACAGCAGAAAACATTTCACTCACCGTTGGAGGCCTGTCTGTTCAGTTTCCAGAGGGTGAATTCGTTCCAGGACATAGGAGTACTGAACATTGGCCTTAACCCATGCTGCCAGGGGTGCAGCTGCTGTACTGGCTCTTTTAGCGTTCTGAAAAATTCAGCACAAACATTTCACCTTGAGGCTGTAGATGCAGGCTACTTTTGATAGCTTACACAGACTTGCGACATTAAAAATAAGCAATGTGGCATCACTGGCAATTATACGACGGATCAATACTATTATCGATGCACTGCAGACACATCTCCTGACAATAAATGTTTCCCATACACCTTCTCCAGGTCTTGAGCAGTGCAAATCATTTTGCAGGGGTAATGCAGAGAATCGGAAAAATAGCTGCCTCCAAATCACAGCTCATTTAATCCATGCCTGCTAAATACATAAAGAGATTACCTTTGGGTCAAAAGATGCTTTATTTTTAGCTAGAAGTTCTTCTACGCTCTCACGGATCTGCTTCGGAATGTTCCGAGCATCAAAGGTTGCAATGTCTTCTCTGACTCCTCTTTTGGCAAGGAAACTGCCAAGTATATTAAATATATTAAATATTTGAACTCATTGAATTCATTTTAATGAAACGTATCTTTGTAATACAATACTTTGCATGGGCTACAATCATCTCCTTTGGTATGGAGAATAAAATATTTCACCTTCTGGGGAAATACAACAACAGGAGAACCAAAGAAAAATTTCTAATTACCTCTTCATGCTCACCCATGACGTATCAAAAATGCCCATCAGCCGTAAGACACCCTCCAATATATCTCTAATGATATCAGGTGGCATGCGAAGGGAGCGGATTTCTGACAGAGATTCAGGTTTGATGTTTCCAACTGCTAATTTAGCTTCATTAACCAGTGGCTTAAAAAAGGAGAAAAATAGTTGCTTAGTTTTAACAAAACCTCCATTTAAGCCTTTTTATTATACCCAATACCTCCTGGAAAATTCTCATATAGATATACATGCACACAATTTATATTGTGCGTGTATGTTTTAAAGATGTGCAGACTATAAAAGTACCATGCAACACAAACACATTAAAAAACTCTATGATATGTACATAATTTGGAAAGCAGGCTCTGAAGTCAAGGATACCAATAAATATCCATTCTGATTACCTGAACCTCCTTTAATTCATCCTCAATTATTGCTTTTCTTTCTTCTATTTTTACAGCTTCTTCTGCTATCTTCTGTTTTATTTTTTCCATTTCTGCTTTTTGCTCACTTGCATCCTATTAGACAGAGATATCATTCATGACATTTATTTCTAGGCTTCAACGCTTGCTGCGGTTGTATAATGCATCACTGGTCACATTTCTCTGAAACATTAGGTTTTTACTACCTATGGCATATTTTATACTAATCGTCCACTATCATTGAATTGGTATGGAGGTTCACAGGATCAAGTAGCAAGGTCTCAGGATCAGGTCATGGCAGGAAGAGAGTAGAACCGGGTTCAGACAAACAAGGAGGTTCAGTTAGAAATCAAGCTGGGTGGTGGTAGTGGTTACAGACCCTGGCCACAGGCTTTTTGCAGCCGCTTACTACTCCCACCGTCTTAGGGTCTTGGTTCCAACCATGAGGGGTGCCAGGAGCCATGTCTGTTTTAAAAAAAATCTTTCTCCTTTTCCCTCGGGATGAGTTTGGGTAGGCCTGCCAACACCAAAGAAATCTTCTTTTGGACCAGGTCTGGCCAGCCTTTAAAATGTGTGCGTGCATACATGTGGGAGCAAGAAGGGCTTCAGACTCGCATTTCCCCTCCTTCCCTTTCTACCAGAGGTGTCCAATTCAACACCAACATCCTGGTAAGCATGTAACCTAACCAGCTTGTCTTGTGGTTATGTTCTAAACCCAAGAGAGCCACTTCCAGAAACCCAGGCATCCAGGTTTTAAGAAAAAGATGACTAACTACACATATTCTAGAAAGCACAGCTATTTGGAGACAAGGCGAAATCCTGGAAAAGGAACATAATAGGTCATAGTAGGAAATGTCCCAATCTATTATTAGAGCAACTTCATCACAATCTCGTGACAAGTGCAGCCTATCAGAATATATGCCAAATCACAGCAAAGCCATACCAAGAGACCCTAAGCTGTGCGAAACCACTTAATGGCATCAGTAGCCTTTCACAGGGAACATGTGAGTGATATTTTGGTCATGACCAGGAGGAAAGGAAATATTGCCTCCCTGCAGAGAGAGGGCATAATGTGGTAATTTGACACAAACCCGTAGAGACAGCATAGACCCATAGTAGATCCCCCCCCCATGCCAGTTACACCTTAATGTAAAACAGGCCTAACATGTGAAAGACCTACAAGGAATGTGCAATTTTGTACTAGACAGACATTTTAAATCATGCAACCTTGTCAATTCATGTTTAAGTCTGTTTTTATCACAGTGTCTCGGCTTTTAGCTTTTTTCCTTCCTAACTGTTCCCTTTTCTTTCCCTTACATTTTTTTCCTTTTAGTCCTTTGGAGCTCCTCTGTCATTGTGATGTCAACTGGTCCAAGAAAGAGCAAATTCCCCCTTTCATATATCTGCACTTATATACATTACCTGCATAGAAACAGTGATTTCTCGGAGTGCAGCATCAGCCTCCTCTTGCTTCATTTTGAGCAATATGCTTTGCTCTTCAGCTTTCCTATTCAGCTCATCAACAAGGGCTTTTGCTTCATTCAGCTTAGCCACTCCAGCCTATGAAGATTACAGACAGTAGGTGAATAAACCTACTTGAGAAAGTGAAGGCCATACAGAGACTAGATTTTGACCACACCAAAATACATGACACTGCCTTGTAACTGAGTCAGACCACTGGTTTCTCAAGGACAGTATTATCTCCTCTGACTGCCAGTGGCTCTCCAGGATCTCAGGAAGAGGCCTTTCACATCGCCTACTGCCTGGTCCTTTTAAATGGAGAAGCTAGGGACTACCATTTGTGGGACTGCCATTTCATTGGTGGTGGGAAATGCCATCAAGTCACAGTTGAAAACCATAGGGTTTTCAAAGCAAGAGACCTTCAGAGATGGTTTGCCATTGCCTGCCTCTTCATCATGTCCCTGGTATTCCTTAGAGGTCTTCCATCCAAATACTAGCCAGAGCTGACCCTGCTTAGCTTCCAAGATCCGATGAGATCAAGCTAGCCTGGGTTAGCCAGGTAAGGGCCATTTTATGATTCTCTTCATAATTGAATTACAGCGTTTTCCTAGCAACTCAGCTAGGTCCTTTTTTGAAAGGTGCAAAATGTAAAATAGAAACATAAAATGATGTAACAATTGAAGTAAAGCAAGCACAAGCCTAATCAGTAGGGGCTACTGTGCAATCCAATTAGATTAGGATTTTGTAACTGAATCAGTCTCTACTCCCTTGGACTATTCACTGGATCAAACCGTATTCCAAGCTATTTTCAGTGTGCAGTATGACCAACTTTCAATTTGGAACTTTTATGCTGGCACTTAAGGAAGGTGCTCTAGGTGTCAAAATTTAGGCTTAAGGCCCAGATATGAACTTTTGGGTTTAGAGAAACAGTCTGGTACTTAGAGAACCATCACTAAGTGCCAGGATAAGAATTCTTTCCTCTACTGTCTGCAGGACCTTGGGGGGGGGGGATAAGTTAAATGTGTGTGTCAGGGGGTTAATTTGTTAACTGTCTTGGTGGCCCTTATGAGGGCTGAAAGGCAGGGCATACACAGGGCCTTAGCTAAAGCCTTCCTAGTGGGAAGGCCCTGGGGAAAGTGGGGGGAGGCGGAGTGTGCGTGTGCGCGTGCGAAGCGTGCGCGCCGCACACACATCACCCGGAAGTGACCCCACTGCACGCCTCACTCCCACATACACGTCAGAAAAGGAACGACACGTGTACGCTCGTGTGGCTACTCGTATGCAATGCGCGTTTTACTCAGCAGCAATCCCCCATGCAGTCAAGGGAGTTTACTCCCAGGAAAGCCATGCACGGGATTGCCATCATATGAGCACAAGCCCCCCCTAATGCAAGAAAGGTGCCACCCGGAGAAAAAGAAAGCCCCGGTGCCATTCCCACCCCGGGGCGGCAAGCGCACCCCTCTCTCTCCTTCCAAAGCGCTTTCGCACCTGGGGAGACGGCGGGGGCAGGTGGGTGGAGATGGGGCAAAGCGTGGTTTCGCCCCTTCCATGCCTGCTCGTGGGCTGGCCGGCCGGTCGGGAAGAGGCGGTGTGGGGAAGGCAGTGTTTTTCCTCTCGGCGGCTACCGCCGCTGCAGTTTTTCTGGTCCGAGGCAGGAACTGCCTGCCGCCCCCGGAACCCTACCATGCAAGGCAGCAGCTCGGCGCGGCTGCGAGGGGGTGGGGAGAGCATTTTTGCCGCTCCGAACGAGGCCTCCGCCGGGCAGGCCAGGCCGTGAGGCTTGCTGCCGCCGCCGGGGAAGAGAGACCGCCGCTTTCCTCGTGAGAAGGGCTCCCTCCTGGGCGCGGAGCGTGTGTGAGCCGGCCCAGGCACCCTCCCCTCGCCTCCGCCCGGGCTGACGCTGAGAGAGAGAGAGACGCGTCTTCTGGGCACCTCCTCCTCACGCCCCAGACGCCGAAGGGGTCGGGAACCTGCTGCCACGGCACGGAGAGGCTGGCGAGGAAGGACGCGCCGCGCGCTCCCCCTCCCCACTGCGGGGCCCCCGTTGCCGTTCCCCGCGGGGGGGAGGGGGAGCAGAGGAACAGGGGAGGGGCCCCACAAAACTCACAAGGAGGGCCGGGCCCCGTGGGCCCCATGCGAGCTACGGGCCTGGGCATACATTTTGCTAATAAATAATTACATTGAAAGGTGACATAATCAAGATTCTAAGTGATATTCTCCTATATCTTCAACCGGGGGGGGGGGGGATGCAGCCACCAGTAGCTCACAAAATAGCCTGAAAAGATAATGCAAATCAAAGACATCCTACATACCTGCAAATGGCTCTGCCTTTTAATCAACTCTGACCTTTTGCTGTTATGGATAGCACAATACATATGCAAAAAAGTCATATATCTTCTGGGAGTAGCTCCATATGTTTTACATGACTCGTGGATCATCAAAAAGGATTTTAAGAAATCAGGATCACCTATACAATATTTTACAAATTTAGCATTCTTTATGGGCTGAGATACATAAATACTACTAAAGACAAGAGTTACACAGTTTAGCTAGGAAAAAAAACAAAACACTTCTTTCAAAGCATTCTTCTTTATGGATGACCAGGTTAAATCTACTGATTTCAATTCAAAAAAATTGCAGAGTATCATGACGCAAACCACTCAATTGCTCTTGATACACATTTTGTATGTCACGTTTTGTTTTTGGAGACATATAGTGAAGGAAAAGGTTTCCCTTGCTCGAAAGCCAGTCGAATCCGACACTAGGGTTGCGGTGCTCATCTCAGTTTCCAAGCCGAAGAGCCAGTGCCGTCCGAAGACGTTTCCGTGGTCATGTGGCCAGAATGAATAAACACCAAGGCGCATGGAAGGCTGTTACCTGCCCACAGAAGCGGTACCTATTTATCTACTTGCAATTTCTTGCTTTTGAACTCCTAGTATGGCAGGAGCTGGAACCAGAGACGGGAGCTCACTCCGTCATGCAGCACTCAGGTCTCGAACAGCTGAACTACCAACCTTCCAGCCTGCAGTTCTGCGTCTTAACCACCTAAGCCACCGCAGCTCCTTTTGTTTCTGAAGACATATATTACATGGTGTATTCTTTAGGATAAGAAATAACAGCCTACTTAGTGTTTGGACAAAGCCTCAAACATGTTCTTAGAGTATAGCTTCTTTGCTTTGTATGGGACACTGGAGATACTTATTACATAGTTATGGCTAAGTTCCAAAGACCTCTGTAACTTGGCCAGGGTTCTCAAGAGAATTCTGAGCTTGTGTTTTTCAAACAGTAGTACTTCCTCCCACCCATGGATGGCAAGCCACTTTTGTAACTGGGGAGACTTTCTAAAAGCAATTTGCCACGTGGCATTATGGTGGGGGAAGGGTATCCTTTTCCCATTTTTCTTTTAACTGTACCAGGCACATCCAGTTCTTGGGCATAAAACAACACTTTGGTACTCAGACTACAATTTTAAAGAAGTTATGTAACCCTGCATGAATAAGTACAACTCTTAAGCAATACTCCTACCAGAATGCTTTTTCTTGTGTTCCTTTGATGCTTTAGCTGCCTTTTCATCTGCTTCTGTAAATAACATTTCAGGTATCTAAAACGTAAAAATGGTAGATAATAACAAATAGTTCGACTGGAAAGTTTTACAGCAACTAGAAAATTACCAAAGAAACATATTTCCCCCCCCCCCCAACAATGCTGTCTATCCTAATGACTACAGTTCAACTAAACCACCCATACTCTGATGAGACAGAGTTACACAACCAGTATAAACAAAATAACAATTGCTATCCCAGCCTCTATTTATGAATGTATGGTAAAGAACAGAAATTAATTTACCTTTTTCATACTGCTCTCAGACCAACTTTCCATCCAGAGCACCTGACATTTCTTATGAAGTGCAGGATTACTTTCACAGTTTATTGTGAAATTCAAGTTAGTAGAATCCATAATCAACACCACATGAAGATTTTGTTGGATTCCTAAAGGTTATTCAACATATGTATATTTTTAAAAACACATAAACATTCTATTATCAGCTTGTATAGCATTTTAATATTATAATCAAGTAATTCCCAGAAATGCATTCCTAGAGAGCTGTGATTTGGACCATACCAGCTACAAAAAGAGTGATTACATACAGCGGCTGGAATCCAGAAAGACTTATAGGTATAAACAAGGGAAGTGGTCATTGTCACCCCCCCCCTTTTCTGGCTGCAGCTCTTTGCCCCTCATGGGAATCCCCTACTAAAGGCCCCCAACATTTGAGGACATTTTGGAGAGGCTTGGAAGGGGGGCACCACTAGAAATGGGAGTTGGAAAGTACTTATATATGACATTGGCTGTAAGCCAGATAAATAATGTGGGAAAATATTATTCTCATATGTAGGAGCTGCATATTTAGTTTTTGTTTGTTTGCTGTCAAATCACAGCTGATTTACAGCGATCCGTGGGGTTTTCAAGGCAATAGATTTCAGAGGTGATTTGTCATTTCCTGCAACTGTGTAACCACCCTGGGCTTTCTAAATACTGACCAGAGCCGACCATGCTTAACATCTGAGATCTAATGAGAACAGTTACATATAAAGTCCTATGAAACCGATGACCCCATGCAAGTGTTCAACCTTGCTTGGTAAATCATACCAACAGCATTCAATTATACCAACAAACTTTTGGATCAGAAAACCACTGAACATTCCAAATGCATCTGGTGACACAAGCACTGACATGCAAACACTTAAAATAGAATACATTTTGTTAATCTTTAAGGTACCACTGGGATCCTGGCTTAAAATTTCTGAGGGGCTACTATTCCCTGCAGTCAGCGTTCAGCCTCTTAGCACCAGGAAAGCCCGTCTACAACAGCCACAACAGTTATTCAAAACTTTGTTTTTCTGTAATCTCACTACTATTTTAGACCTCCCCAGAATGGCTAAAGAATCTTTGGTGGAAAAAGCTAGTGTACAGAACATTAGCTCTGAACTACATCTTCTTTCTAGGCAGTTTATGATACAACATGATGAGATATTAAACTGAAAAAGTCAAGCATGGTAACTAATCTGTAATGCATTACTACTGGTAGATATGCTACTGGTTCCCCATGATCATGGTTACCAACTGCAGTCAGGATTTTAAAACCCAACCTGGCTTATAAAGATTATAGCAGAGAAGTTACCAAATAGAACAGCAGGTGTAAGTATGACTTTCTAATTCACATTCTGCTTAAATGCTTCATTTTTTAAATGTGAACGTGTCACATAGGACTGCCAAGTCCCCCCGGGGGGCGGGGAAACCCCCGCCCCAGAGGCCGGCAGATCGGGCCCCGGGGGAAACCCCGCCCCGACGTGCGCGTCACCAGGAAGTGACGTTAGGACACCGAGCATGCTGGGGGCGGGGCCACGACCATTGGAGGGAAAACTCTATGGCAACGATTTGGCAACCCTAGTGTCACATTTCTCCCACCATCTTTTGTAATTAGACATATACTTACACAGCCTTGATTCACTTACTATAAGTAAAATAGTTAAATACTGGTCCTGTAAACCCATCTTGCGAAGCTTGATCTTTCAGAGGGGACAGAAGTGGCTCTAATTCTTCTATTGTATACAGTCCAGGAACTTCACCTATTTCAGAAACAGGTTTTTAAAAAAATTTACTTAAAAAATCACTATGGCCATGTCTAGATAGAGTCTTTCTTTTGTAAAACACATACCTTTGAAAAGGTGACTGGTTGTGCAATAGGCACTAAAAACGAATCGAAGAGAAATATTTATACTCTTCTACCTATAACACTAACTCCAGCAGTAAAACCTATGTAAGCTCCAAAAAGTAAACCTTTTATTTTATTTAAAAAATTAAATTGTATTTTTTAAAGATAAACTAGCTGAGGAGAAAGTTCACCAGGAGAAGTTCTAGATAGCTGCCACAGAAAACAAAGAAACTGAGTGGGAAGATACTCCTCCCCTTCAGACTATATGTCCTCTGAGGCAGCATTTCTGAGGGAAAGTCTTCACATCAGAAAGCTAGCTCTAGACACTTCTGAATCACTGCTCTATACAGATGCAAAGTCCATCAACATGATCCAAAGGGACCAGAAAGACATAAATAAGGAATTATTTCAGTTTGATTTTTTTTCATTGTCACTTTAAATTTCTTAAATATTAAAAAAGTATATAAAAGAAGGGAAATAAAATGCCTGCATTTCTCTCTCAGAAAATAAACAATTATTTCATCTTCTTAGAACTTCAGGAGGTTTTTTCTGACCAAAACATAAATACATATAATCAGTTTAAAATAAATTGAAAGAAATATCCAGCCATATCTACGACACCGAGAATTCTGTGTAGAGACGATAGGCATCAGACTGTGCATAAATAATCAAAGAGCAACAGATAGATCGTTTCCTATTAAAACAGCGGACAATAAAACAGTATCTCAGATCATAAAAACACAGCAGAGGGAATAATAAAACAGGCCAAAAATAAATAATGATGTAGAAACAGACTAAATGAGACGACATTGGGAAAAATATTAATAGGATGCCTGGGAATTCTCTTTTTTTAAAGTTTTCACTGTACTTTACAAGCTTGTTTCCAGGCAAATCAACAAGGCAGAGAATGCCAGGGTTATGGGCCAGGGGCTGTGCAGGATTGTGGTTGCCACACAATGCACCTTCAAAATCACCACCCACCATATTTCTTAAAATGGGGGCAGAAGCTTAGGAGAAGGTTTTTTTGCTACTGTGTTTTTCTCACCTGAAGACAGTAAACTGTTGATCATCTCAAGAAACGTAGGGTGGACAAACTGATAGTCCTCAAGCAACAACACAACATGTTGTGCTTCAATTCCCGCAAGCTGCATCACCTGAACAAAGAGAAGCCATTCTTTTTTTATTTCGGCATACAGATATAGGCATCCTTGATTTGACTGAATGCCCGATGATATTAAATATACAATGTTTATGGCAAGGCTTGCTGACCCAATGGATTTGAAGGATATTAAATATACAATGTTTATGGCAAGGTTTATTTATTTTATTCTGCTTGCTGACCCAATGGATTTGAAACTTTACTAATAAATTATCTGAAATCTTAAAATAAAGATCCCGAAACTGTGCCTTTGTTTGAACAAAACATATCTCACATTTTAATCCAGTATTACACAAGTCTCAAATTTTATACCCATAAATTACACAAAAAATGTAGTATTCTAACACATGAACTCTGTGCAGATGACTCAGATTATCCATAATGAAGGGATTAGGATTGCATTCTATGGCTCTGTCCTCCAGCGACCATGCACTGTCACTTCTGCAGAGGATACCTGAAGTCCAATATCCATAAGCTCCAAAAGAGCAAAACACTGAAGTGAACCATTACGTGGCTGGGTGCTATAGGTAAGGGATTGTAAGTGTGCAGGCTCCTAAGCAAACATGTAAAATTCTGTGCCCAAATACTGGGGAAGGGATGTGCATCACGGAAGAACAAAGCAGGCCTATAGTACCATCCTAAGAAGGACTGCACCCTCCTAAATCCATTGACATGAACTATTTAGGACTGCACAGTGAAGCCCTTAACTGTTCATGCCCTTGAAAAGCTGCATGTCCCTACAAACTTTCATCAAGTCATTTAGGCTAGAGTCGTGATACAGTGAACTGAAATTACATTATTAAAAAATATGAGATTCACTTTAAGTAGAGTATTTTCAGACCCCAAAGACTTCAGTGGTGCGAAATGCCTTACACCGTCAAACCTTTGAACCCAATGTATTGTTTTTAGTTCTATTTTATTGTAATTTTATCTAATTAATTGTTTTATCTGCTATAACATTGTGTAAGCTGCCCTGAGCCTGCTTCG